GAAGCGTTCGGGTGATTCGTCCCCCCCCCCCCCCGCCCCCTTTCCCCCTCGCCTCATTGAGCCGAAATGGGGGCTCGATTCGAGTGGAAGGGATTCCTTTTGAGAGTTTTAAAAGGACCTGTGAGTGCACTCTGCTCGGGAAAGGGGAATCGAGCCGCCGCATATGGGTCGATGCTCTCGTATCTCTCGGTTCTCTTATCTCATAATTTTGTCATTTATTCTTATATTTTAGCCGATACGGTGAGCACGATAAGAAGACTTCGACGTTGACTTTCGCAACACAGGAAGTTTGATCTCTCAGGATCTCGAACGAACGCTGGCTGAGGATCGCCTGGGGCGAAATCGACTCAGATTCATCAGTCGAAGTCGGGGAGTCTCCAGGATTCCGGTTAGTCTTCACCGTTGGCAGTCGTGGGTGTCACCAGGATTTTGGAGTTTTCACGGGAGAGTAAAGACTGTATTCTGAAACATCCTTTAGGGATGGATTTTCCACTTCCAGGAGAGGAAAGCTGCTCGAGGAACAGAGCAAGTGAAGACCGACGTGCTCCGCTCGAACCGACATGCTCCATTCGAGGCTTTTTAACCGGAATCGGCTATCTCTCGCCAGTTTTTTTTTTTTCCCGATGGTTGAAGTTCTAAGGGAGCGAATAATTTATTCCTTTCAAGTTTTCCCCAAAAGTACTGACAAGCGCTGCTCAAATGGGCCTGAAACGATCAGAATGAGGGAGACAGGTGAAAGTTGACCCCGATGAGGCCAGATATGGAGCTGAGCGCCAACTGCAGGGCAGAACGTGAAACAGTGGCGTCGGAATTCTGCGGGTCGGGAGCTCCAGGCACGAACCCCATCTCGCTGCCTCCAGCGAAACTCTACTTCCATCACCGATTAAAAAGAGTACAGACACGCCAGCCTATTGCTTCTTGGGTTCAACACGTTTTCAAATGATTTCGACCGCCGTCTTTGGCTTCCTCTTCCCCCTCATACATCGAGAGATGCGTGCGTCGAATCCAACTGTTAGCAGACGACGCTGATGTCGCCATTGATGAACATGGCAGCTTGCAGGGAGTGTATCGTGGCTTTGTCAACAGACTGCTAGTGGTTGGGCTACCATGTGAATGCTTGAGCTTCCATTCCTTTTCCTAAAACCATGTCTGAGTGTGAGACCGGTCAAGATAACGCACCGATCAAGGAGGGCTTCCGAAGTGACGGCAAGGTGACACTTCCACAAGAGCCTATCGATATCGAATCACTCCTTAGGAATGAAGGCCCCATCCTCCATGTACTTATTGTAGTGTTTCATCATAAGAAGGGTGCTGTGGTGAGTCTTGCTCGCTGGAATCAACGTAAGCCGCGGTTTAACGCATATGAAAGTTAGGCCTAAGTCTTAATTTTGGAATACATTCAATAGGTGGAGTATGCCTATCCTGCTTTACAAGAGGATGATCCCACTGAACTCCCCGAGCCTTGGAAGCAACTTCCTTCTCTTGCTATACCTGATGGTGCCCATAAGTATGAATGGGACACAGTGTATTTTCACCTCCCCAGCATCTCCCTGTCTCAAAGGACAGTCTTTGGTATCTCTTGCTACAGACAAATTAATGCTAAGGTGGGCAGAATATTCCAATAATATTGTTGTGGTTTAGGATGATTTACATCTTGATCATGTATGACTGTGACTCCACCTTGCAGGATGTGAAGAATCCAAGCCGAGACATAACCCGCACAACGGTCCAGAAGGCAATTTGTGTTCTTTCTTCCTTGCCCCTGTATGGACACATACGAGTTCATGTTTGGGAAGTGGCTGAACATTACATGAAGGGAGGTGATCTCTCCAATACCGAAGAATTGCCTAGATTATACAAGAACCTCAATGCTTCTCTCAATGAAGGACTTCTTTCTTCCAAGGAACTTTATCTGGGTGGGTTTCTGAAAGCTTGGTAAAGAGTGTAATCTAATCATTACCATAAAGAGGAATATATTTTCTTCATCAGGTTTAGAGCTGAGGGACTTGGTCCTGCATTTTCGGCACAAGGTTTTGGTTCTCTTCAAGCTTTTGCTCTTGGAGCGAAAGGTGTTGTTTATCCATTCACCTGTCCACACACTTTGCTCAGGAATACTTGCTCTTGTGTCTTTGGTGCCCCTGATGCTTCAGAAAGGCCTCAATCATGCTGCTTGTGTCAGGTGAGTCAGAATTTTGGTTTCACCATGTGCTTGAACCTGATGAATAACTGCTAACACTGAAAGAGGTGAAATTGCATCCCATTGATCTCGACATGAATTCAAAGCCCATTTGGAAGTGCAGAAGTTGTGCCATAATTGGCTTCTCAAAAACTAAAAGTAGCACTTCATTATTGGCCTATTGTCCTAATAACAATATTGAATGGAAAACCACAATTTGGAAAGTTTGGCGGTTGTCTTTCCATGCATAGTTTTGAGGGGGATTTCCGTCATTGTGATACGTGCACTCGTTCAGATGAAGAGGCTCTTGCTTGGCTCACTAACAGGTGATTTACTTCATTCCCTTCCTACCTGCATCTTGCTCTTTCTATACAAGCATCAACTCTTTTGCAACTAGGCTCCAATATACTAGCCCATAATTGCAATGCAGCTCTATGGCTTGCATCTAAATTGCTTGAGTTTAGTTCTATTTTCGTGCCTTGAACAAACCTATAATGAATTGCTCTGAATAGACTTCTTTTCAGCCTGCATGGGTCTTCTGTCAATGGACTCATCTTGTCAAGCATCTAATTCACTTCTTGAATTCAGGTCCAAAGATACACATGTCCTAGGAGACACAAGGAATCTGGCCGAAAAGTGCAGCCCTGGAGACCCCAAGCCATCTTTTGTCATCGGTCAAGATGGAGATGAGGTTTCAGCAGTCAAGTCTCAATTATCTGCAGAAGAGGAACTTCTAGCAGAGATAGAAGATGCATTGACACCTGAAGAAGAAAAGCATACCCATACAACCAAAATTCAAGCTGAAAAGAAAGACCATGAAGGCATGAAGCGACCTTCTTCCTCATCCTCGTTGAAAGGGCGACTCTCTGGTATGATTGGGGGTAATTGGGTCCAGAGGTCACCTTCTGAGGAAAAGCTTCAACCACCTTCCCCAGTAAAGGAACCAAAGGAACTTGGTGAGAAGAATGGGGTGAATTTCTCTGTGCCAAGAATGAACATCAAGGCCTTGGATAACTTGGATCTGGCAAGTGCAGGATTTCCATTGACTATCTTCTCTCAGGTTTGTCATCTAGATTGTTTTTTTCCTTCCTATCTGTCATAATACCATTGTGAGTTAGTGTTTCATGAAAGGGAACTTTCTTCTATTTAGGGAATGGTTTGTCATCCATATCTGGCCTTGCCATATATTGACGTTCTGGGTGATGTGAATTTGAGAGGATACTGGGTGGGAGCGTCCAATGATCTCTTCAAGCACAAGAAGCATCTAGCTGATGTTCTGGTTCAGGTACAGTTGAGAGTTTCACAGCATAAATAAATCAACTCAGCTTCAATTTGAATATTCCTTATTCCAAAGGTCAGTTGTGCAAGATGAAGTCTTATCCTTTCTTGAAAAGCCTGCCCAATTCTTTGATCAAAAATCTTCTTTCATCTTTGATCATTGATATTGGTAGGTAGGAATTTTTCTTGTGTTAAATCTATGGCCTAAAGTAGTTGTTCTGATAATGCTGAGTTCCCATGCTTAAAAATCATAATCATTCTTGTCTTCATTGTAAAAAAAATTGAGCCAAATCTCATCCAGCTTGAAGATGCACGAGTTGAGGTGTATGACCCAGAGTTGAGGCGCCAGTTGAGCCTTACTACAGAAGACCTTCGATTTGCTGATTTCATTGTGAAGTCTGTATCTGAAGAGGCCAGCATACCTCTGGAGATGGAAGAGTGGATTCGACTTCACTTCTGGCTTTATGCTCTTCATCTTGCACGTACCTCTCTCCTTGAAGGCTAGTACATATCTTTTCACTCTTCCCAGAGACCAAGTGTTGCTAATTGTGATGGTATGTATGGATTATTTCTTCTTCTAAGCTGAATGTAGAATAAATAGGACTATATCATCATACTATAGAGGTTTTAACTACACTTAAGTGTGCTAACCCACTATATTCTCTCCTGTAGCTTCAATTTGATCCCTGATGAATGTTTTAATATTTTATAGGAAATTCCTGGTGACTATATGGTTTTTTATTGTTGAGTAGATGGGAGTCGAGAGATGGAATTCTACAATGCCCACTTTGTTTCTGCCTGGAAAGAGACGCACAACTACAGGCTTTGGGTTGGCCGACCTCATGATGGCATCTTGGAGATAAACCCTGGACACCCATTCTCAGGGCAGCTTTCTGTCTCTGATGTCAAACTCAAACTGTCCCAGTGAGTCCAAACATCTCTTTCTTCATCAAATATAGCCTGCTTAAAAATGCTTAGCTTGCTTTGCATTATCCTTTACCAGCACATTGCAGAGCTCTGAAAGAGGGCGCCGGATTAACCAGACACTCTCCCAGACTGGCAAGGTCGTTGGTGAGTCTCTAGTTTTCATTAAACCTCAAGTCATGCTCTATCTGAGCCGCCTGTGCTGCTTTGAAAAGTCATGAGGGGACAACAGTTCAACAGCCAGTTCCCTTCTCAGCTTCAATGGAAATACAGTTCCATGGTTGACATAGTATTATTTCTGTCTTTCATCAAGGTGGAGCTCTATCCAATGCAAAAGGAGCCCTTTCATCATGGTGGAATAACATCTCCTTGGGTCACGAGCCTCCTTCCCCTCATATGACAGGAGGCGTGGAAGAAGCGCACGAAGTGGTGGGTGAAGAAGACGATATGGTCATCATCGGGGTCTGCAATAATGACACGACCAAGATCTCCTCTCCCAAGAAGGCCAAGTCCTGATACCAAATGCAAATCACAAAATGGTTTTTCTTAATTTGTGATACTTTTTCTTCTGTGTGAGGTTTATCGTTTTTGATGAGTGAACTTGAGCACTCAATTTTTTTGCACCCTCACCAAGTACCTTTATTTCTCTTTCCTGAGATTTTTTTCATATTGTATGTTTTTCATGAACTTGCATAAAAGTAGAGGAAATAATGGAATGACATTACAGATCAGGATGCAGGAATAACTGTCATTTTCCATATTTGCGGTACCTTGTTTTGGGAAGTGAACTACTTAGTATCCAGACTTTAATTTTTCTATTCCTTAAGATATGAGATATGAGTTTTAAGATATGAGATAGAAATAATCTTTCATATCTTGAATTTGATCATCAATGAGATGCAAACAGCATGAGGCATTTCTTTGTCAAGTCTCATGTAATGCACACTTAATATGTCTTTGAGAAAGGTCCTGTTCCCTGTGTACTCTCTTCTTGTGTGTTCCATTTAAAATCCCATACCAGTAATTAGAGTCCAGTTCTAAATTCTTTCTAACATTCTTACATAGTCCTGTTTGTCTGTGATATGAAGAGACATGGCTAGCAATTATTTATTCCTGATTCTGTGTAGTTGCAAGTGATGTTCTAATTTGCCCTAGCTGGGATCCTGGTTATTCTTAATTGGATGTCTTGTGCATTTTCCAAGGCAATGCTATTGCAAATGAGATGCAAGTCTTTCTCGATGAATGAGTCTGTAGAGAATGCTCTCATCCAGCTGAATACAAATGATTTCCATCACTGCTGTATGAGAATTTTATTGTATACATTTTGTTTCAACATACTCCATAAAAATCTAAAAGCATGAGACAACAGGAAGCAAGCTGAGCATGTGAATGGCAAGGAAAAAGAAATCCTATGCTTCTATGTACAGCAAGCGATATTGCACAGCCCGGCTGTCTGGCGCGAGTTTGAGCCAAAGGAGAATGAAGTTTGAGCTGGGACACATGGAAAGTCCCTTTGTAGAAATTGAAGCACCATCACGATTTCAACATGCCACGGAATCCACGTGGTCATCATCATCACCTAAATACTAATACATCATTTTAGGAAGGAAGAGTTCTGGTGAAACTCACTATATGATTGTAAAATGAGCTTCTGTGGGGATTGAATAGTACCGCCCAATGGTGGATCCTTCACTGAAATTCTCTTGCATGGAAGCGTAACCGAAGCTGATACATGGCATTCTCGCAAGAAAGGCACGTCAGAAGATTTTCACATTACAAAGTACTTTGTGCTGGAAGACGATTTTTTTCCTCATCATGTCAAATGAAAGTGGGTTTCCTTCTCCTGAAGGTTTTCACCAGCGACAGCTTCCCATCTTGATGGAAAAATGAGCCCGTCTTCGAGTGGACCCAGCTCCTCTGCACGAGGAAAGGAGCTTCTGACTAGGTTCTGCTCGCATCGAACACCATGAAATCACAGTTTTCTCCGTTGTAGGATTGCGCAGTGGCGAGATGGCACTGCTCATGAAGCCCATTCTTCATGAAGAGGATCCACCGACTTTTAGTCTTACTTTATTAAGGAAAAATTGAGATTCCACCAAAGATGGAACTATCATGCAGGAGAGAGAAACTTGAGGAAACTGCCAAAATTTCCTTTCAGAATGAACAAATATCATCTTCCTTCAGCACTGCATCTAAAAAAAAAAATGCCGTTAAAGGGAGGGATCTTCAGTCTGGAATAAAATGGCTAATGGCAACACACCTCAGAATAGTGAAGTTAGTTCTGGATCCACCACTGGTGCCGGCCCCAGTGCGATTCAAGCATGACGCTAAATTCATGGTCAATTTTTTAGAACGTGGTTGGCTTCACGTTGCATGCTTTTTCAACAAATGCCTGCAGGATTTTCTGAAGCAACAGAAAGTCGCTTAGTTTGGACCTTTTTTTGCACATACGATTTCTTTTTTCAATTGTACAATCTCGAATAGATGTGTTATTAATCAAAATGCATCAAAAGTTTTGATTTGTATCCCCATAGGAGCCCACATCGAGACATCTACAGAGTTTCACGATTCCCTCTTCCCATTGACTAAAATCCTTTACAAAAATTATCACATCGCACGATCAGAGATCCTCGAGAATTGTACAAACACACACCCTGCCCTGCCCCCCCCCCCCCCCCCCCCCCCCCCCCCCCCCCCCCCCCCCCCCACCCCACCCCCCCC